TAGGGAAAGTGTGTTTTAAATAGTTAAATAATGCATGAGAATACATCATTGTCATGGTTATACAGAGAACTGCTCAATTCTTGAAAGTCCCCCTTCAACATAAAAGTACCTGGTAGATGGGCGAGGAGATTCAGAGTGGCTATTTACCATCCTGATTGTGACTCTACAGAAATGTTTTGTTTCAGCTTTGGAGTGGTCTGGCTCCTGATGGTGTGACCATGTTTGGAAGGGGCAGAACAGACCTTCTAGTAGTTGCTGGTGCCAAGCTTTTACCTTTACTGGGAATGGTGGAGCTAGGGCTCAAGAAGCTTATTTGAATGAGTTCTTACTTGGATCTGTTTTGCAGTTTTTGGCTAGAGTGAAGACTGTTCTTAAAGCTTGGTTGCTACTAACTGATTTTGTGTTTGGGTGGATCAACTAACTAGGAACTCAGCACCTACTTGTCATGGCTCTTAGAGGGTGTAGGTGTTTGATACTGAAGTTGTTAATGATTAAAGAAAACACTTAAGCTTCCTTGTGTGAAAACCACATTTATCTTTAAAGCCATAATATTTTCATTTCTGGTCCTTAGTGGTGTTCAGGCACAGTGTTTTACAAATTATTACTGAAATTTGTTTCATTTATTATTTGAAAGTATTACGATACATTCATGACTTGAATGCTTTTATTACTGGAAGGTCTCTCAGTGGACTGTACTGCTCTGGGCAGGGACGTCTTCGTGCTGTGGCTGCTTGGTCAGGGAAGGACGTACACCAGCACCAGGAGGCTGGGCTGGGGAGGGCTGTGGGACATGGAGCAAAGCTCGGCTGAGCATCTTGGTCAGAACTTTCAGCTTAACCCAGAAGATACTAATTAGAATTTTGGCCTTCTGTTTGTCCTCAAATACATTGAAAGTTTCTGAGAAAACAGGTAGTGAGGCAAATTTCATCTTTGTACATTCATAATCTTGATGTTTATTAATTGTATATTTTGTCAGGGAGACACAACTGTTCCAAAAAAGTCACAGTCAGAGCTCAGTCTACATTAGAACATGGACAAGATATGTCCACCAAACTGTTGGGTATAGCCTGCCCCAATATTGGCATTGCAAAAGTTTGACTTATGTAAGTCTTGGCTTATTTTGACTTAGTGTAATGGTTCTCTTAAATTATTCATTGTGCTAGATTACCACTCAAATGTATTCTTCACTAAGTGTATTTTAAGGACAATCTCGATGTGCATGGAGGTTTAAAAAAAAAAAAAATTGTTAAAATTTGAGTCTTCCAAATTGGAGGAGATACCTCTGAGTTAACTCTAAATAATCAAATTAATGTTAATATTAAAATGTTATTATTGGTCAAAATGTAGTTTTTAAATCACAGAATCCAGGGTTTAGACAGATGTGTGAAGTATGTCAGCTTTTCTTTCTTGTACATATTTTTTCTCCATTTAAATATAACTACAGTATTAAAATGAAAGCACAACATTTGTCTACCGAATTTAATATGAAACAGTTTTAAATGAAGCGTTATAACCTCGGACAATAGGGATCCCTGGCAGAAGCGTCCACACTTCTGTACTTGTAATGACAAATGATGCTGCATGTAGAGTGCGTGCCCGTTTCCTGGTAAGTAATTGGCACTAAAAGTTTTCCATTTCCTTTTGAATCAGTGTGTCATACTTGACATTGGCACCAACGAAAAGACCTGTGTCTTTAACAGGGGATAGTTTTGTCAGCCTTCGCAATATAGTTTTCTATATCTTGAAAAGATTAATGCATCATGCTCTTAGACTAGTTATGGGCAAGGTAACCTGCAGATAGGGGAGACTCCTAGTGACTGGGGGAGTTGCAAGAATGATGAGTCATAAAATACCATACTGCAACCTGTTCCTTGCTACTTTGGTCTGATCTGTTCTGCTTGAAGTAGTGACATTTTTGTTTGATTCTCGCAATGTTCTAGCATTTTTCATTTGAGCTGCTGATGAAGATGTTCCTAGGGACAAAGGGCAAGCTTGCAAGCAGAGGGTTGCTTCTCAGTGCGGATGTGTGTTCACAGCTACAGTTTGAACTTCCTCTGAATTTCTTCTAAAATTTGTTGTGGAATTTGGACAAAACAGTGTAGTTTGAGTAGGGTGCGTTTTTAAAAGGATCATGATGTGTACCCGTAACACTGTCTTCTCTTAGTACTCTGTTTCAACAAAGACAACCCACTTTGGCTGTTTGAATATTGGATTTAATTCACATTTTAAAACGTGCATACAAAAGTCTGTATAGTTCTTTATAGTACATCCTGAACAAACAGAAATTTCAGTGTAGCTTTTTCAATTTTGGTTTAATTCTTGCAGAGGAAATGATCTATGATGATGTTGAAAATGGTGATGATGGTGGAAACAGCTCGCTGGAATATGGGTGGAGTTCAAGTGAGTTTGAAAGCTATGAAGAACAGAGTGATTCTGAGTGTAAAAATGGAATTCCCAGCTCCTTTTTGCGAGGCAACCACAAGAGACATGTATGTATCCCGCAGTGCTGCTCACTGAGATTATCCTGATTTCCAGCACTTGCCTTTCTCACCTGTATTTCCCTTCTCCTCAATCCAGTTTCAAATGCCAACAGCATCTTTTTAAAGGAGACATGAATCAGTGTGGGAGTGACAGTCCACAACAAAATGTAACAGGGAAAAGAAAAGATGAAAATATTAAACAGAAGCTCCTTAGAAAAGAAAAAAACTGGATAAAAGTGAAATTAAAAACGAGATTATTTTTGCTTGTGGGCAGTCCCTCACCTTTTCTTCTTTTGCAGCTGCTGGATTAGTGTAAGTGGTAAATGAGCATGGAAAATAGTGTGAAGAACAAATGGGGGTAAGCCTGAAATGACTTGAAGTTTTGGGATCCTTCAGGTGCTCAGAAGTCACAAAACTGTTTGCCAGTGTTCCCTACCTTTCTGTCTTAGATTTGTATCACTTTGCTTGAAGGTGACTGAGCTTAAAAAAAAAACCAAACCCAAAATAAAAGGTTTTTGTGATCAAGGAGGTGGTCTGTACCATTTATTAAGGAGAGGAGAGAGTTGGCATGATTACAGTGATGCATCTGTGACACATCTCTGGTCTAGTATCTTTGGCTTCATCTGTGTCGCGGGAGGCAGGAGGACGCTGGTGGCACAGGTGCATGCCCTCGCTGCGTATTTCTGATTGTGTGTAGGGAGGAGCCTCCAGCTCCCGTGCTCTGGCTGCTTCGGTTCCTCTCCTTCTGCCCTCGTGCCCTCTCTGTGAAGGAGAAGTCTGCCTGGGACCTGGGCAGCCTCCTGCTGCTGGTTCCCTGCGCCGAGTGCTTGGAGGGCAGGGGATGTGGGGCAGAGCAGGGACAGGCTCAGGGCCTGGAGTCACTGCAAAACCCCCAGGGCCCCCTGGTGGGTGCTGGCTTAGGGTAGGCACCCAAGAGCCGCTTCACAGCTGCTCCCCATGGCTGGAGGATATAGGGGTAGCAGCCAGGGTGTTCTTCTGAAGAACTCTTATCTTCGTTTTGTAGCTTGCTTATTGTGATAAGAATAAAAATCTCGCTGTCTGTGTTTCCCTCCAGTGCATGTTATCTGCTCTCCCCCCACCTCCATCTTTTCTGCCTGCCCTTCAGAAATTGGGGAGCGAGCAATTAACTGCAAGACTTGAGCCCATCCAAATTAGCACTTTGTAAGCTGAGAGCTCATCTTCTGGTTTGGTTTTGGTTTTCTCCTGACTAGAATGAATGTAAGCTATAGCAGCTTTTTTTTCTGGGGAGTTTTTTAACTGGAATGATGAAAACTGAGTTTGGTTTGTTTTAGAATACCTTTGGAAGAGACTGGAAAAAAACTTTGCATGTGAGTGTGTAAGTCTTAACATGGCTGCTGGGGTTTTTTTTGTTTGGGTTTTTGGGGTTTGTTTGGGTTTTTTTTAATCTTTTCCTGTTATCTGTAGCTTCAGCTTCGGCTATAGCATTAGGACTCTATTTACACGTGTGCTCAAAGCAAGATTTAAAGCCATTTTTTAAGTGCTTATAAGTATACTTTGATCTGTCACAGGAAACTGTTGGCAGTGGGTTGAGAGCGGTGGTGCCGGGATGAGGCCCAGCGTGGCTGAGCAAGAGGCGGGGGAGCGGTGGGCGGCCAGAGGCGGGCTGCGGGGTCCTGCCTGGCAGCTGGCTTTCCCAGGCCTGTGACAAAAGGTTTGGAGGATTGCCTTGTGAGGATGAGGAGCCTGGGAACACATTAGTTGGTGAATGGAGAAGTTGGAGGGGCTGCTGCATCTGGGAGGTGGAGAAGTCAGGGAAGTGGAGAAGGGGTTTGGTGCAGGATGAGGAAAGACAAAAACTTCAGGATTGCTGAGAAACCACTCCACTATATACCTGTTGTCCATATCCATTCCTTGCCCTCTCACTTCTCCTCAGGTCTTGTGATGGATATTACAGTATTTTCCCAGCACACCTCCTTCTGTAGCCTTTCAGAGCCTATGAGGGACTTGCCTTACTTATTATTTTTTCTCTCTGTTGAATAGTATGGGAAGGTTGGAGGTGGGATTCTTAATTGTAAGTGCTGGTACGATTTCCCTCAAAGTCACTTTTTTAGTATGGCTTTTCATCATTATTTATTTATTTTAAGACAGGAAGGTTTTTTGTGCTATTAAATATTTCTAGTCTGTGAACCAGATGCTGTTGTTAATTATACTGTTGTAATGCCAGAATCGTCATGTGGGAGGTAATCGCATCCTGACCCAGCCTAGTGGAGCTAAATGCCAGACCTGTCCTTTTGTTTTCAACTCGGTAGGCCTTCTCTTTTCTGATGCTTTCATCTCTTGCCAAGTAACTCTGTAGACAGCAAGCTGAGGGGTTTTCCATTGGATTTCTATTATAGGGCACACACCAAATACTTTCTTTTTTTTTCTGGTTACATTTTAACCTCCTTTATCTGGCTTTCTCAAAATGTTTAACAAATGTTAATTAGTACTCCAGAGCATTTTTCTGGGGTAGTTTCCTTACCTTGCAAACGGATATGTTCATGTACGAGACACCCGTGGTCGCACAATATGGCTATGATAGAGGTGAGGAAAAACATGCGCTTCCCCATTCCCATGTGCTTGGGAACTACAAGACTGTATCCTCCCCTGTTAGCATCTCCTTGCCCAACTTGCTAGCACCATTGATCTCCATCTTCTCGGGTGCCAGCAACCTCTGCAGGTTCTTCGGCCTTTGAGAATTCTTCCAATTCACCATTTTGAAGGATAGTCAGAAATACACTCGCTAGGGTTTGTGCTCCACCAAATGATGCTCGTGGGTAAAACTGATGCATTGTTTCCATACGGTTTGTAAGAGATGTGCACAACGTAATTAATGCGCAGTTAGCTTAGACTAAGTGACTTTGTCCCTCTCTGTACATAGTTGCCCACGTAGCGCAAAGGCACCTGGCTGAGTTTCAGAAAGTACAGCGATGTGCAGGAGTCACGCATGGTCTATTCCTTGGGTCAGAGCGTCCCTAAATGATTATTTTCCCTCGGTTCCCTCAGTAGGCAGACTGGGCAACGTGCATGATATACGCGAGTACTTTAGCATGAAGTTTGCACTGCAGGCTTTTTGAAAAGATTGTGTCTTTTTATACACTGTAGCTTTCTCATGACCTAACGCGTTTAAAGGAGCATTATGAAAAAAAGATGAAAGATTTGATGGCAAACACTGTGGGAGCAGTAGAGATTCAGCAACTAAAGCAAAAACATGAGCTGAAGGTAGTGTAGTTGATTTTTGTAACTAGCTATGTCTAAATGATTGCTTTTTTCCAACACAGGCAATGTTTGTCTTTTTACTTTTAATAATAACTTGAAAAAGCAGGTGATAGTTTGTACGAAATGAGTTCTAAATGTGCTGTAGCATTATGCAGTTTGTCTTAAAAGTACTTTGTCAAGGACCTTTTCTCATGCTTATTTCTAATGGTAACAGTTCCAGAAGATGAGACAGGGCATTGCCCTTATCCCAGAGTGTTATCGCCAGGCCTACAGCCCCGGCGCCTGTCTGAGCCCCAGTGAGCCCTGCCTGAGCCTGGCTCTCCTGCCAGGCGGGGGTCAAATCGCGGCAGTCAGAAACTCAGTGCTCTCTGTTCTGAGTGCTGCCAGTGTGAAAAGGCTGGCTTTTTACTAAAAGCTTTGGCTCAAACCGAGAAATTGCCTGATCGCAGCAAGACAGCTTTGTGTTCTGATGTCACTGATGTCGGCACAGCTTTGACAGTAGTGAGGATTTTTTGCCTTGGTGGCATTTTGGGAAAGCAAAACTACAAAGCAATTTCTTTATTAAACATTTCCTAGCAAAACAACACTTCATTTTTATTTTTCATGAAATTTTTTCACTGTAGTAATGTACTATAAAATTATGCAATTCTTAAATCAACTTAGTCAATTAATGAAATTATTAGTTGTAATGTTTTCTGCAAAACACTGTTTATTGAAGAATATAGTTAATATAGAACTGAGTCTAGGGGATAATCTTTAGGTCAGAAATACTTTGACAGAGTTTTTAGGACATTGGAAGATGGACAAGAACCCTGGCCGTTAATGACCTATTTGTAGTGTTTATTTGTTATATGATGTAAAGCTGAGCACTTGAGATTATTTTGAGGTCAGATGTTTGGTGCAGAAGGGTTCTTAAGCGTTTCTGCTATTTAGGATTGCATACGATATTAACATGAAGTAAGCCGCTTTCTCCAGGTTTGAGTTTATTAAGAAAAAGTACAGGTGCTCAGATCTGAGCTTTGATGGATCTGTGCACTTACTATATAATCCTTTAACTTTGCGCTATATTTATAGCCTAAACTACTTGACAGTGTTCTTTTTAAAGATATTTTGATCAAAAATGTGAAAAGTATTCTGCATGGTATGCTCAAACATGTTCCTATTATTCATTGAATATGTAGACTGTATTTTTTATCTTACAGATGCAAAAGCTTATGAGAGCTGCTAGAGAAGGTACCAAAGATGGGCTCGAAAAGACAAAAGCAGCTGTGAAGAAGGGTCGTTCTTTCATTAGAACAAGATCCTTTATTTCTCAAGGTATATGCCAATGATATTGTGTTTGTTATTCTCTCTAGTGGTTTCTGAAAAAGGAACTGAATTGTCTTAACAGGTTTTTGTACTGGGAGCTGAGTACTGGATGTATGAAATCAGCTTTATATCAATGAAGTAAGGTGTAATATTCAGTTCAGATGACAGTATGGTCAACGCATCTTGAGTAGTTTTAGGTTTGGGGCAAGAATCTGAGTGACCTGAGAAACCTGAGGACCACAGAGAAGGGTCCACTTCAACAACAACAACAACAACAAAAAATCCCACCAAACAGCGTCATAGATGCTATCTAGGTACTGGTATATGTGAATATGGAAATTATGTTAAGCTACTAAGTCTGTCCAGTTTCCCTCCATCGAGTAACTCCTGAATGTCAGGAAAGTCTGCTGATACGACACAGTTTTCAGTGGAGTGATAGTTGACTATTTAAAAAGTTTGTCATGGCCAAGGGATAACAAACACTTCTCATGCTCAGGAGTGGAAGTAGAGGAAGAGACTGCTCTGCTTTGTCTCAGTTTGGTGGTTTCTGATGAAAGCTGAGTTTGGATTGGGAAAACAAAGTGGTCTAAAATCAAAAAGCTAAAAGTATTTGTGTTCTTTCTCTAGTTAAGAATTAATGTCAGCCCTCTGTCACGAGCTTCAGCAGCAGCAGTCCACAGTTAATTTTTGCAAAAGGCAGGTGGTAGTAACTGAATACAAACTTATTTCTTCTTCAGGGTAAGTCTGAGAGGTAGTGTCCTTCTGCTCAAGTTTCTGCCCAACTAATTGAATGTTTGTAACTTCAGAACTTATAAAACTACAATTTTAGGAAGCTAGAACCACAAGGCTGGAACAAGATATTTTTGGTGAGCAAGCTAACAAAAAGCTGCATCCTATCTGTAAGGCCCAGGACCTGTCACGGCCTCTAACTGCTTCTGAACTTACCTAATTCACAGACAGAAAATAGAAAGTTATTTGCACAAACTTTAGTGATCAGAAATATGTCCTCAACTTCTTGTTGCACAGCAGAAAATTATTTGCTTCAGCAGGGCAGTGTTGCAGTGGACCTGGCATTCCCTTTTACATTTCTAGCGGTTAGGTAGCAGACATAGGGTATCTGTGGAGGGCTTAATTCCTTAGCCACATAACAAATCAGCAAGGAGCTGGTGACAAATCTGTTGAATATACTATTGAATTCCTCCCAGCCAGCAGATCTGCTTCCCTTACTTCCCTTTTTGCTCTAAGATGCGATTTCTCATACTGTTCATTTGTGATCTCTCCTTTGCTCATGTCTGCTTGTTTGGCTGGCTGTGTACTGCCACCTATCACTGCACTCTGGTGGTGCTTTTTACATAAAATTAGTATGCAGGGAGCAATGCAGAATCCCTTGCTCTCATTTCTGATGAAAGCCAACATTCTGGTACATTTGGCTCCTTATTATAGTTCAGTTATGGAAGGGTGTATGGAATTTCTTAAGTTGGATAATATCATGGGTGTAATTAATTTCTTCCCAAAGGTCATTAATTTCAAAACTACTGGCCCTGGAGCCACAGTGTTTAACCCTAGTTGTCATGTCCTGTGCTCTGGGCAGCTCTGTTCTCCTGGCTGTGAAGAGACAGTAGAGGTCAAGCAAAAGATTCATAGGCAGTCTCCTGCTGTGTGGATTTTAGGATTTTGAGATACCTTTGAAAGATGTTCTGTATTAGAGTGCCTATCGGTGGTGGTATTTGTGTGATTTCGCAGGTGATACAGAAGTGCTGGGAAATTTCTTGTGTTTGGTAAATGAAAATAAGACTGCTGTGAAATTACTGTCCTTGGATGACAGGATCTTTGCTTTTTTTTGTTTGTTTTCAATCTACATGTTGTAAAAGTTGACATTTTTGTTATTCAATTCTTTGTAGATCATAGACCATCATGTCTGGAAGAAGAGGAACTAAATTTATTTATTGATGTGGACTGTATGCATACAGAAGCAATTATGACTCCTATGCCTGAAGGATTATCACAGCAGCAGGTAGTAGGCTTTTGGAAATACGGTATTCTGTCTCTCTTGCCTCTCCTCCTGCTCTACATCAGTGGCGCCCAGGTGCCTTGCTCTTCAAACATATTGGCGTTAAACATAAGTTAAGTCAACATCAAATTCAGAACCAAATAAGTAGTTTTTTTAAAATTGGTATGTGTGCATATAGTTGCAGCAGTCCCAAATTCATCCAGAGATGCAAAATGCTGTTTTGCATTGTAAAATTATCTATAATAATTTTAGTTTCACTACCTGAACATGTAACTAAATATGATGTGAGTGAAAAAGAAGAGTTTAAACTTTTTTATTGAGTTGGAAGACATTGCTCCAGGTGCTTCAGGATTTCTATTTTAAATGTAGAGAATATCTTGCATGCTCTCTGAATCTTAAGGTTTCTCCTGATGGAAAAAAACCCTTGTCCCCAATAAAGTCAAGTCTACAGAGAGTATATTTTACTGTTCTCCACCTCAAATTCTCTATATAGTCACTGTGGAAACCACTTCAAAAAAACCCCTGAAATCAGCATCAGTTAGAAATTTTGGCTGAAAATAAATCCTGTGGGTTCATGTTACTGTATTGTTATAACAAGTAATAACTATATGAGAGTTTTCAGCTTCTTGTGGTGTCGAGTCATGAGTTGGTCAGTACCTTCAGAAAATGAGCAAAAAAAAAAATTAAGGGGCAGTTGAGGATAGTGGTATAAGTTTTGTGGTTTGCTTGTTGAGGTTTATTTTTCTAATGTGTTTAGTACAGTGAAGTGCTCATCTTGTAACAATGCAACTACCAAACTGTGTTATGTTACTGTAAGATTTCATTATAATGTGAGATCTCAGCATCAATCTGAATGCTGACTTTTCCTTCTTTCCAAATAGGAGTTGGAGAGTTTCACTGGTGTTTGGTGGGGGATTTTTTGGCGTTTTTTTTTTTTCAGTAATTAAAAATAAATGTACCATCTTTTGGAAAAATAGAGTGCTCTTAGTTTGGAGCAAACTAGAAATTGTCATGTAGGTCATGATGGATGTTGCTTAACGACCCAGGAGAAGCTGCCCAAGTGGCAGGAATGGAGTTAGGAAAGCCAAAGCTCAGCTGGAGCTTTGTGAGGTGTGAAGGGCAACAATGAAAAGTTTCTTATATGTACATTGGCAGCAAAAGGAAGGCTAAGAAAAACATGGGTCTGCTGCTTGATGGGGCAGGGACCTAGTGACAAAGGGCACTGAAAAGACTGAGGTACTCAGTGCTACCTTTGCCTCAGCTTTTACTGGTGAGGTTTGTCCTCAGGCCTCCGAAGCCCCTGAGCCTAGAGGCAGGTCCTGCTGGAGGGAAGCATTACCTGCAATTTAGGGGGTACTGAGGCCCATTGGACATACTGGTGCCTGTGGGACCGGATGGGATGGATTTAAGGGTGCTGAGGATAAGGCCTTTCTCTGTTGTCTGAGATCACAGTGATCAGAAGACTGGAAAAAAGTAAATGTCATGCTCTTATCCTCAAGAGCAGCAAGAAGGGAGGTTCTGGGCTGGCCTGACCTCAGTCCCTGCGAAGGTGATGGATCAAATGCTCCTGGGAGCTATTTCTGGCCAAGGCGGCCCGCAGCATCCTGGCTTGTATGAGGAATAGTGTGGCCAGCAGAACTAGGGAAGTGATGGTCCCCCTGTACTCAGCACTGGTGAGGCCACACCTCAAATACTGTGTTCAGTTTTGGGCCCCTCAGTACAAGAAGGACATTGAGGTGCTGGAGCATGTCCAGAGAGGGGCAACGCAGCTAGTGAGGGGTCTGGAACACAAGTCTTACGAGGAGTGGCTGAAGGAACTGGGGTTGTTTAGTCTGGAGAAGAGGAGGCTGAGGGGAGACCTTATCGCCCTCTACAGCTACCTGAAAGGAGGCTGTAACAAGGTGGGGGGTCAACCTCTTCTCCCTGGTAATGGGTGATAGGACAAGAGCAAATGACCTCAAGTTGCGCCAGTGCAGGTTTAGGTTGGATATTAAGAAAAATTTCTTCACCAAAAGGGTTGTTAGGCATTGGAACGGGCTGCCCAGGGAAGTGGTTGAGTCCCCATCCCTGGAGATATTGAAAAGATATGTGGATGTGGTGCTTAGGGACATGGTTTAGTGGAGGGCTTGGCAGTGTTAGGTTAATGGTTGGACTTGATGATCTTATAGGTCTTTTCCCACCTAAATGATTCTATGATTCTATGGTTTTGTATTCGGAAGGACAGGAGGGTGATTGGGAACAGTCAGCATAGATGGACCAGTGTCCATTTGTCCCTGGGCGTCCCAGCTGGAGAGGGTGAAGGCCAGAAGCCCCTTCCGACCTGGACTGCTCTGCCACGAATGAGCTGACTTTATGAATGTGCGTGTTTCAAACAGCAGGTGGCACGATAGCTTTTGTTTAAAACTTGGTGCCTGTTTAAATACTGTGTTCCACATTGGGTGTCAGTCGTGGTAGCTTTTGCTTCCTTTTAATACTGGGACCTGAATTCTTACAGTGAGTTGCACGTGTTTGTATGCTACTGTTACTAGCAAAAATGTGAGTATAAATGTAGGACTTACACACAACTTGAGAGGCTTGCATGTATCTATTGCAGTAACCCGTAGGCACTCTAAAGTATCTATTTTGTGGATTGTAAAGCCTGAAAAAAAAAAACATTTTCTACAGATGTTTGTTCTTTTTAGAAGAATGAACTGTGACTAAAAGTAGAGTTAGTATCCTTTATCAGAGCAGCTGGTACAGCATACCAAGTAAGATACTGCTAAATCCATTCTAAACACAAATTAGACACAACTAATTTTACTGTATATCTTTAAGCAAGGCCTCAGATATTTTGGAAGTCTTCCTTTGAAATGCCAGTACTTGAAAGAAAATCCTTTCATAACCTGCACGTAACTTAATAATGCAAAATACAAGTGTGGAGAATTAAAGGCAGCCATTGTGGAGGTGGCAGGAGGCCATGGGGATCAGGAGCAGGGAGAAGCAAGTAAGAGATTTGAGTTTCATGGTAATTTAGGCTGGCTTAAAATAACAGAAGAAGCAGTTTTGCCTTCCCTTGTAGATGTGGGGAGTGGTTTGATCCTGCCCTTGTGCTGTCTTCTCCCTCAGAGTCCTGCTTTTGAAAGCCCTGGGATGAGCTGGATTAAGAAATGGATTTGGGTGAAAACAAATCCTTAAAACCAGCAAGAAATCTAATCGATAACAATAAGAAGTTTAAATTTTAAACCAAATAGGTTCCCCAGTCCTTCCTCTCATGTCACCTGCACATGCATACAACGTGCGTTTCAGCTGAATTGCAGAAGCAGGAGGTGGAGAAGGAGGTGTGATAAATAGCCTGTAGTTTGTAAACATAAAATATGATAGTATTTCCTGAAGCTCTTACAACTCTGTCAATTGGTATGAGTATAGATGAGATGGGGGTTTTCACTTGTGCATGGTAATGCCCAAAAAAGAAAGCTGACTCAGTCAGATACTTTCTCAGTGGTACAGTTTATATGGTCTTACCTTAAAAAGGCAATTAATGTTTGCTTGTTTCTCCTTCAGGTTACTCCTAATAAGTTTATAAAACATATTAAAAAAAGAAAATTAATCTTGAAGACTGATTTTGAAAACCTATTTTGTTGCAGCAATTCACTGAAGTAGCCAACATCATCTATACCTATTATTATTTATGTTAATGCCTAAATTTATACATCTAAAATTAAAAGACCAGTTTCAAAAGTAAAGCTTGGAATCGCAACAGTCACCGAAGATTATAGATATAGGTACAATAACTGTTGTGTTCTTTAAAATAAATAAATAATTTTAGAGTAATAGTGAATTTACTTTTGAAGAGGTTTTTTGTGTTTTATTAATGTGAGAATTTTATCATCAGCATTCCCAGCTATGATGAACATGTTACCTGATTAGAGCTTTAAACAAAACTTTGTTTCTTAACAGGTTGTGAGAAGGTATATTTTGGGTTCTGTAGTTGACAGTGAGAAGAATTACGTGGACGCTCTCAAAAGAATCCTGGAGGTACCTTCATATCTTTGCATTTTATAATTTGGAAATTTGAAAAATAGTCAAATCCTTAAAGAATCTGTAGTATGACTCACATAGATTTTACTACAGATGCTTCATGCCAAATGTTTAGAGATTTTGTGTGTGTATACTGTTATATAAGTTATTTTTTTCTGCTTGTAAAAGACCCATTTTTTGTTTGTTTGTTTAAATCTATTTTTTGTAATTTTTTTTTTCCCCACAGCAATATGAGAAGCCCCTTTCAGATATGGAACCAAAATTATTGAGTGAAAGAAAACTCAGAATGGTTTTTTATCGAATTAAGGAAATTCTTCAGTGCCATTCAATGTTTCAGATTGCACTGGCGAGTCGTGTGTCTGAGTGGGACTCTGTTGAAATGATTGGTGATGTCTTTGTTGCTTCAGTAAGCAAATGCATCTGAACAGATAATCTATTTTTATTTTAGTCTTGTTATTCTGTCTCCATATGTCTGTCTAACTTGGCTACTTTATAAAGTTGGGGACAAACTTTTTAGCAGGTCCTACTGTGATAAGACAAGGGGGTAGTGGTTTTCAACTAAAACAGAGTAGATTTAGACTAGATATAAGGAAGAAATTCTTTAAAATGAGGGTGGTGAAACACTGGAATGGGTTGCCCAGGGAGGTAGTGGAGGCCCCATCCCTGGAAACATTCAAGGTCAGGTTGGACAGGGCTCTGAGCAACCTGATGTAGTTGAATGTGTCTCTGCTCGCTGCAGGGGGGTTGGACTAGATGGCCTTAAAGGTCCCTTCCAACCCAAAGCATTCTGTGATTCTGTAATTCTATGATTCCCATATTCTCCAGTGCTCATGGCAACTGAGTATGTAGGTACCATCCTGGTAAGGCACCTGCACTTTTGGCTTGGTTGGCAGTGCAAAAGGATTCTGAGCATTAATGAGACCAGCTCTGCCAAAGAGAGGGATAAAATTCCTAAGGAGGAAATGGGCATCATCTTACCCTTCACATGCCTGTTTGCAGGCCAGACAATCTGTCTGCTTTCCTGGTAAACCCTTACCAGCAGAAGATGGGGCATGACGGCCCTGGGACATTGCTGTTTCACCAAATCTGGGAAATAGCCAGCAGTGAGATGATCAGGGGATCCCAGCAGCTGCTTCAAATCTCAGTGGGTGCCCTTTGATTGCCCATAGTCCCCGAAGTCTGCCCTAGTGTCATGGCCAAGGTGAAGCTATTTCTTTAAATTTACATTTTGTAATTGACAGCTGTTACATCGTTAGGTTTCCAACCTGTCTTCTACAGAAAAGTTATTTTGGGCATCACTAGTATTTCTGTAGATGCAGCACTAGGCCAAGCAAAGCCCTTAGGACTGAGCAAGGCGAGTCCTTAACGGTCAAAAGTTTAGTTAGTTATGCTTTCCGGGATCTTTTGTGTTTATAGTTAAGGTTTACCCTTTTATGTTTTCAGTTTTCTAAATCTATGGTATTGGATGCATACAGTGAATATGTAAACAACTTCAGTACAGCAGTAGGGATTCTCAAGAAAACGTGTGCCACAAAACCTGCCTTTTTAGACTTCTTAAAGGTGAGTTCATTCAATCTTAAAACAGCTGGGCACATCATATAAATAAGACAGTATAAATTATAACTTAGGAGGAAATTTGACTGCTGATATTGTATATTATGTGACTGTTTTAAGGACTTTGGTTTTATGGGTTTGGCACAGACAATTCACTTGCACTACTGTATTTTCAGAATAATAACATGATGTTAGATCTAGGATGTATTTTGAAGGAGAGAGTGGTGGTGATGGTGTTGTTCAGATCAGTTTGTTGGTGTTTGTGTGACAGTACTTGGCAAAATACTGGGATTCTTTTATAGCAGGTAAGCTTCAAACAGTAGTTCACCATCTGAGGCCTCTTCTTATTTGGGATTTATTTTACTTCTAAATTCTTCATTATATTGTGTAGAGCAGTGTAACTAGATTTCCGTTCGACAACAATTTCCTAGTATTCTGAAAATCATGTTGAAATTGAAAAAATTTATGCAGAATGCATACTGCCCTGAAGAGTATGATGCTCCTGATGATGTGCATTGAGAGCCTGGTACGTGCAGTATAAGTGCTGTGAATCCCTAGGGATGATACCTTGCAGAGGGTACACAAAATCCATTGCAAGGCTATTGGGCTGTCTGTGACACTGTTGAGAGCCTGGAAGCTCTGCTTGTCCCATTCTCTGAGAGTCCTGGATTCAGTTGTGCCTCTCAGAGCTGTCACCTTCTCAGGTCTGTTGCAGTGGTCCACCAAACACTGAAATTGGGTGCCCTCGGCAAACTAAGTAGTGCAGCTCTCAGGTTGCCTAGGGGAGGGTGGCAGGGGGGCTGATTCCTAAAATGTCTTCGGATCTTAAAATTAACTAACAATTCTTTGGAGTGTGGCCAGCACTACACAGGATTATATTCTGGAAGTCGTCTTAGGCACCACGAAAATCAAACTCTCTAGTGAGGCTGTAGTCACTTCATACCGCTCACATTGTTAAAAGCCCATGGTTCTAATAGAGGCAAATCTTACACCTCTCAACTCTGCTTGTCTTTGCCAGCACTGGTAGTGCTCAGAGCTGGGGACTCATAGACAAACTCTGAGGACAGAAGACATTTCTGTCCCTTCCTTTTTTTGTTTGCCCAACAGCAACGAAGACCAGAATCTTCACTGCTGCTGTTTGGGGGGGGGGGGGGGGGGGTGGTGGGGGAAACCCCCCCGCCACAATTAAGACTAATCAAAAGGAAGCAGCTGCTCTTTGTCTGTATACTGATTCTTAAATGGTATTGAAAGGTAACAGTAAAAGAGAGCTGAATAATATAACAGGAACATTTTTGAAAGTCATGGTTTGGTTTTTCAGGAGTAATTTGCTTAGGAAAAACTTGTTTAAAACAGAAAAGATGAACTAGTTTCTGAAGTTTCTGGAGATAAGTATGGAAACAAATTGTTGTGAAGCTGATAGTTGTAGCAATAAATAGCAATTGAAGCAGAACACCAGTTTAATATTTTTTCGGTTTGCTTTGGTTTTTAATATTGGGTATTTCCTCTACTCTCCTTGGTTGCTGTGATTCTGGCCAAAATATTTCCAAATGCTGAAATGTCTTACAGAAACAGGGCTTTTCTGCACATGCAAATGAAATTTGTCCGATTTTATCTGCCAGTCCTGATAACCAAAGTAATGGATTCTTATGTTTTTCATTCCAAACATAAATCAATGTTCTTTTTGTTTGCATAGCACTGAGATTATGATGTTTTCTTTGATTTCCTCTTAAAAACACATAGGTAGGTAGAGATTTATAGTCTCTTAGCCCCAAGAAACAGAGCAGCAATAGTAAATTACGGACTATAAATCAACAGATCACTTGCATTTTTCAAATTTAAGACCTTGAACAAGTACATTCCCTTTGTTGTGCTTGAAGTTAAGCAGACGTTTCAGTGCACCGCTCATGTAAAAAACATGAGTGTGCTGTATTGATGCATATATGGGTGCAGCATTGCTGTTGTGGCTTTATCTCAGCTGTATTTATTTAAGGAGGAGATTGCAGTTCAGTGACATGCCATCATTTTAATAGTGATTTTTTTTAAAAAAAACACATTTAATATTTTTAAATAAAATCTTTATAGTAAATGGCATCTTTACAGTACCACTGTTACAATTAATGTAAATGACAGAGAATTTTCAGGAAATGTTTTTCCTTTCATTCTGTAACCAATGGAAATACGCTGACGGTAGTAAGCGGTGTGGCTTTCTTGCATTGCAGCAGTGCCAGGAGTCAAGCCCCGATCGAATTACACTGTATGGTTTAATGATGAAACCTATCCAGCGCTTTCCACAGTTCATTCTACTATTGCAGGTAAATAATGTTTACCAAAGGGATGCTCTCATTGCATTCTTATGTGGTTCGCTTGTGGGATTGTGTGGTAGCTGTCTTCTGCTGGAGGAGAACGTTGTGGTGGAAGTGACCACTGGATCATGGGGAAATATCAAAGAAAAAATTTCAGTGCATCATAACGTGCTGATCTCATAGTCTGGTTGCAGGGACAGGCAGTAAATACACTGCGGGAAAATCTTGGTAAACTAGATTTACTCTAGATTACTTGCTAGGTTAGATTTAGCTTGTAGGTCACTTGGCAGTAGAGCTGTAGTTCAAATTCGCTACTTGTTCCTGTCAGTTTGTTAGCTAGTAACACTTCAAAACACCACTAGGAACTTTGTGGCGTTACTTCCCATTTAAGAAAAACACAAGAGGATGCAATTCATGCCTTGGATAGTTCAGAATATACGTGGGATGTGGAAAAAAAAAGCGCACCCTCTCCCTGACTGCTTGGCTCACAGGAGCTGCTGGAGTGTGGTGCAGCTTCTGACCTCCAGCATCTTGTTTTTCTTCCCGTGGGAACTGAGGATTTGACAGGGAGTCCTCAGGTCTCTTAACAGGGAGTCGAGCTGTAGGAAGAGCACAGCTCCCCTGCGCAGACCTGCTCCAGACCAACTTACGCTGTTCCAGACGCTGGCAGGTCTATCCCAGCGAGTGCTATGGGTTAGCTGTGTTTTGCAGGTGCCACCAGAGGAGGACAGACTTTGGGGTGCAGGTCCAGGAATTACTGTGGGAGAAGGGGCAGAGGTAGTCATGGGGGGAGCACGCAGGTAGCTAGTCGTGGTGAGAGTTCTGGGTTAGCAGAAGAAATGGGGTTTACTGTGGCAGGAAGCTGTAGAGAATATGTAGGAATTTTTAAGCGCTGTGGGAAAGAAGCAAAAATTTCATGTAAATTGTTCCACTGCATGCCTACAAAAAGGAAAGGTTTTAGAGGCTCCTGCAACCTCCATGAGATGTTTCCTACTTTGGGATGAGCATGCTGTCACTGTTTTAGTGAGGAATAACAACAGTAATAAAGTAAATACAATATTATTATGATAGTCAATATCAAAAAAGTTTAATTTTAACTCGTTGTTTACAGATGCCTACATATTATACTGTAGCATTGATTTTCAAATTGTGCTTAATTTTATATGCATTTTTTAATTTACTTTTACGTTTTCATTTTTTACACTTATCTTCAAGTTCCTTTGTACTTTCTTCCTGTAAATAAGCAGTATGTGACCCCATTCAGTGTCTTTTTTAAGAACTACTAATGTATTCAGGAAAATAAGTGAAGTTCTGTCTGAATATTCATTAGGTGTTCATTGGTCTTGTTCTTCAGTAGTACTTGGGTAAAGAATGTAGCAATGACATTACGTCCTGTAATCTTTTAAACTTGACTTTGAAATTAAATCTGATTTTTAAAATTATTTTTTGTTTGTTTTATCACTTCCCCTCAGGATATGTTGAAGAACACTAACAAAGGACATCCCGACAGATTACCTTTACAGATGGCTCTTACAGAACTTGAAATGCTGGCAGAAAAGTTAAATGAAAGGAAAAGGGATGCAGATCAGCGCTGTGAAATAAAGCAAATAGCAAAAGCAATGAACGAGCGTTATCTGAACAAGGTTAGGAATTAAGAATGTGTGATGGAAGAGTTAGTATATTATTAGTTTCTGGGCCTTGAGCAACCTTTAGAAAAGACACCAAAGAGATGTCTGAGTTTTTTCTGTGGGGTCATTCTAATGGTGGGTGTGAGATGTGAGCTACCTCCAGGAGTGAATAGTCTTGCTGGTTAAACCACTGTGTGCTGTAGCGGGTGACATCCTGAAGTAGCAGCAGCAGTATTAGTGTTCTTTGGTAGTGTATAGGTAAAACTGTTTCCTCATCCTGTAATAAAGTCTCATGCACATCTTATAAATTCAAAATTCAATTTTGAATTTATCCTGGAACTGAGGAATTACTCCTGTATAAAGGAAGGGACCAGTTCTTTATATTGCAGTGCTTCTTGTTCAAGATACACTATTGAGTGTGAGTTCAAGATACACTATTGAGTGTGTCCAACATCTTCCTTGTTTTAAGGAACATCCTGGTCTATTTCATTCATGTATTTGGATCATTCATCAGAAATGTCTTTAGAGAACTGTAGGAGACATTCAGTAGGAATTAACAATCTTCTTAATTTGAGTTTGTCAGTAGCTACCTGTACAGTAGATATACGTATGCTTGTCTTATTTGCATCATACGTGTTTCCTCCTTTCCCATGAGATGGGAAACTTCAATTATTGCTTTCATGAAGTTATAGATTATTATACTGGACTTGTTCTGGGACAGAGTAATGAGGATGTGCTAAAGGGAGTGCAAGAAGTATTTTTGTTTCTGATGCATAAAACCACAGTTTTCAGGAAAGAAAACAGTCAGCCAGAACACACTTGTTTTAGGCTATGTATAGAAAATGGGATACTGACTCTACTGTCATACTGGAACAGTATTTCCATTCTAAGTACATTAGAAGACGGATTCAGACATCTTACTTTCTAGTTTTCATACTGCTGCTTCTCAAAGCAGCTATTAATCATCTACAAATGGTTGAAGGAGTTCAAGACACAGGATGTCCATTTTTAGAGGTGGTACAGGCTTCCTTTTGTTAGTCTATACAAACTCTAAAATCTTTTATGTTCTGCACCAGGGGGACAAATTGAGATATACCTGGATAGTCACTCCAAATTACGTTAGGGCCTTGTGTGCCTTTTGGCTTAGTAGTCTTGGAATGATGCCAGGCAGGGTGAAACAGGTGGTGAGGGAGGTTGGGTGGGTAGGAAACGGGTGAGTTACAGACCATTCTGTTCTCTTGGCCATTGCAGAGGTGTATTTGACCTGTGAGGAATCAGTTTACGCTTGCCCCTTGAGGGCAACTGCCAGGAGCAATTTACATGCCATACATCTTTTGTACATGTTGTCTTTTTGGCAGGTAGCTAGCTCTGTGAGCCCCGGCGGGGCGAGCAGGTGGCAGTGCTCTTCCTCCTCCCACTCCAGCTTTCCCCTTTGGGACAGTTGGGACCATACGTTGCACTTCCAACGGGCTGTGAAAGAAGGGATGAGGGAAGGAAACAACAGAAATTGTGGAAGCTATGTTTTTTTTCTCTAGGAGACCTTTATCAGCATGGAAGGTTTTCAGAGCAATTACATTCCATGTTAAGAAACGCCTGCAGGCCATACCGTAGCCGGCAGCAGAAGTTAACTGTTTCTCTAAATGAAAAGCAAATCAGTAGAGAGGCTTAATTCACTTGGCAAATCCACCTGCTAACACTTGTACCAGGATGGCAAGTGATAACCCGTTGTATTTTCTTTTATTTTTTGCATTGGATATTAGATGAACCATGTATAATATACAATGTTGTTTGTTTTTAAAATCTAGCTACTCAGCAGTGGGAACAGATACCTCGTACGGACTGATGATATGGTTGAGACGGTTTACAGTGACAAAGGAGAAATTATCAAAACCAAAGAACGACGACTTTTCATGTTAAATGATGTACTAATGTGTGCAACAGTAAATATTCGGTAAGACTTGAGTCATGTTTTTTAAATGACCATGCAAGCTTCAGCTGGAATAAATGACACTGAAATTTTTTTTTATTGTTTTTACTATGGCTAATGATTTCTAACAATAGTCAAAAAAATGGAACACTAGCTTTCTTACAGTCCTCTAAATTGCCTGCTGATGTTTGGATGTTCTGGAGTAAATATGTAAGAAAATTAATCAGTTGAAGGTTACAGATAGAAATGCTTTAGTGTCTAGTTATTGCTGTGTATTGGTCTTTAGCAGAGTGCAGACATGCCAAGGTAGGAATTTTTTTCCTCTTCTTCCTTAAATTCATACTGTCACACACATATCTGTAACTTGACACAAGTTGCAAATTTAAAAAACAAAACACAAAGCTAATGCATGTAGCCAGAAAAAAAAGTGGAACTCACTAACAAAGTTCCAGCTGGGGAAGGGTTTTTACCTCTGAGACCAAACATTGAAGGATTAAAGTTGAAGTGCTTTGAAGAAAGCATTTTTTTATAGTGCCTTCTGTGTTTTAGTTGGCTGTAATTATTACTGTTACAATCTTGTGTATGCCAAGGTTGCGCTCCCATTCAAATATTGCTGGTATCATAAATTGCGTTATGTGATGGCACGTTCTGACAGAGAAAATGTGGACCATTAAAATCTTCCAAGAACAGCTTTTCTTAAGCATAATGAGTTGATATCTTAGTTCATTACTGAAGTACGAATATGGTACATGTTTTTGTAACTCTGTGAATGCTTGGTCTCACGTTAGTGAGTGAGAAGTGATATGAAGCACACTTCAGAAAATGCACAAAGCCTATGTCCAATTATCATACAAATTGCGACTTTTTACTCCTTTACAATTTATTCATTTCTTTAGTAACACCTGAATATTTTCTTATGATTGGAAGAAAATTGCTTTTAACCATTTTATCTTTTCCATGACATCATTGTCTTTGGATGTTTTTGTAATTGTCCCTGAAGTGTCAACATGCAGTCCGTTTCTGTTTTCTACGTGACAAGTTCATTATTATGCCAAGTCTCTGGGTTCCTTCTTAAGTCAACAGTTCTGGTCCTCACAAACAGCACTGTTGTTCCTGTGGGCATTAACTGGCTCTGAGCAACCTCCTTTGGGATGGTAATTGGGCATGTGTGTCATGGGGGTTTGCTAGCTCTGAAAAAGTTTAATTATGGTTTTCTCTAGGAGTTAAGGTTTGCTTTCCAACCCACTTATTTATATAACAGTGGGGGTTAGAACAGTTGAGTGCATTTCTAGCTTTATTCACTAGCAAAAAAAAAAAAAAGATTTGTGGCTTCATTTGGGTGTTCAGTTGCAGGTGGGTAAACCTGTGTATTCAGGATTCCTTCATTAATTCGTGGACTGCTCTTAGATTTTTGGTGCAAAGGGAACTTACCTCATGCAAAATATACTGAATGAAATCAACTGCCAAATTTCATGTGACACCTGCATCCCGTCCAGAATTTTTGGTTCAAAATAAGTGTATGCTATAGAATGTACCACTTGCCTGTTGGGCTCACATAGCGTGAGCTTTATTTCTCTTCATTTTAGTGGTATAGAAATCGGGCATCGTACCTTAGCTAAGTTTCTGTTACAGCAGTGGTTTTCAAGGTGCATGCCTGCAAATTTACCCTGGAGCTGTAGACTTCTTTGGAAACTTGACGTTTAGCTGCGCAGTATGTCATCAGCTCGCTTTTCTTAACCGCCTCTTGTCCAACCTTTACAGAAAAAGTCACACATTCTAGGAACCTGGAGATCACTGGTTCCACAGCAGTTTTGTATAGCTGTCAACAGGCATGTGTTTCTACAAAGTACATGACCGTCAGAAGGTCCTTCTTCACATGTAGTCTAGATGACCATCTCTAACCAGAGACCTAACTTTTAGGTAGCCAGAGTTGGGCAGGGTGCTATCCCCAGTGACTGAACAGCTGTGTCCTGCCTTGTCTTATTTCTTCTGAACTAGATCAAGAGTTCATAAATATTTACTTAAGCTGTGGCACTTGAGGGTTTTGTTCATACTCGCCTCTTGAATGAAACAAAAGCATGGCTGTGTTTGAATAGGTAGCTGAGTAGCTAAACATCAGTGTTAAGGCACTGTTCACAAAAAATACATTTTGCTGATTCCTTCCAAGCATTTACCTTCTCTATTTGTCATGCTGTCTGTAAAGTAAACCTTTTTTGTTCACTTCAACATCTCTTCTGTCCTTTATAATAAGCGTTTGTTATATATGCTTGAATGTGAATAAGGGAATGAAGAAAACAAAGGAAGAGGAGTACTGATGCCATTTCTATTCCAAGTGAGCTTCCTCAGTGTGGTGTTGCCTCTGAAATGCCTGTTGTGGTACAGGCTTCCTTCAGCAACAGCAGCTCACGTGGGACTGCTCTCACGAGCCATGTCCTGGGCTGTAGGGCTCAGCAAAAATGTTAGCTTGTCAGCCCTTGGGAGGTTAGGTTGCCCTTCCTGCTGCCAGTAGTCATTCAAAGGTCCCATCATCCATATTTCCCTAAACATAGCAGTTACTTCTTTTTAGCACTGTTTCAAGTACTGTCCTGAAAGACAGCACAATCCAAAAGGATTAGGAAAAGATGGAGCCACGGTATCATCCTAAGTACTTGTATAAAGATGTCAAAATGCACATTGAACTCAAAAGACGGTCAGTTATGTTTTGTTATAGAAATGTAGGGATTGTTGTTGGCAGTCCTGTGCTGTTTGTAAACAAGATTATCTGCACTCCAGTAGCTGCTCTTTGCATTCACAGGAAAGGTCAGTTACAAAAGTCAGCCCAATGCATGTATTTGTTTAAAGTTGTGCATGGTACTCAGACTGATAAACAGCAGGTTTTAGAAGCTGAAATAATAAATAGGGTGCCATGAAACATAGTTGCTTGTCACAGCAATAATTTGTTCATCTTCCAGCTCTTCCTATGAAAGCAGTGGCACTGTGACAACTGGCCAGAGGTATTTATTGAAGTGGAGCGTACCGCTGGGACAAGTGGAAGTCATAGAGTATGGCAGCAGCGAGGGCCAAGGAGAGAACTGCAGGTTTCCACCCCAGCACTCTGCTGAAAATGTCGTCATAAACTCTAAGCCAAGTAAGTGACAGGAGTTGCTGACTTTTACAGACTTTTTTGTTAAAAATCCATATTTAAATTTCAATGGACTACTGAAAACAAAGGAAAGCATTTTGTGCACAAAGACTCTGGTAACGTTAACAGTAATATAACCTCTTTCTTTGGAAACTGAGAATCCATAAAGTGATAGCCAGTCTCCTGCCTTGCAACATGAATTACTTGTATTTGTCCTGGTTTAGTTTTATGCATGAATACATAAAGAGTTTTAAAGCATGAATGTGTGTGGGCATGCAAAACGGCGGTTTTGGTGTGGTGTGCCAGCTGTCCCATGTTAGCTGGTCATGCATATGTTCTTTATCCCATAGTTAAAGCTAGGAAGTTTCTCGCAATAAAGATGACCAGCCACCCCATTGCTGTGGAATAAGAGTCTGGGCACAAGTGGTTGCTGCAGGGTAGAAGTTAGCTCTCTCAAGCCCACAGTATCCCACTCTTCAAACATAGTAACTAGTGCTTCAGAAAAAAAAAAAAAACACTTCAATTTTCATTTTAATTAATTTTTGAAACAATATGCCAATAGGTAATTTCTTCTTAGCCTCTCTCCAAAAACAACCTCAAGCTCTGAAGTTTGCAAGTTCTTTCTGTGCTTGTTAATCCCTCCTGCAGGCCTGCCAGCTACCCTCAAGAGATGTATGAATTTCAAGAGTTGACTCAGTAGTTAGCCTTTCATATAAAATGAGTTGGTTTTATATCCTGCTAAATACTGTATTTTTAAGTGTATTTTATATATCTGGATTGTGATCCCTGTTAATGGACTATAGTGTATATGGGTTTCAGTGCCAGCTCTGGGCACTATTTCACACTACATTTATCTAATATTGCGCCCTCGGCCTCGTGAGTTTTCCCACTGTTGTGCTGTAAGGAAACATAAATGTTGTATTTTGGAACAGTCTGAGGTGCAGCTGCAGCATTTAATACCCCCCATATTCTCCAGTCTTCTTGCTCCTTCCTTTTTAAATGGCTGAAGAAAATTTGTATAGGTACTTATGTCTCAATTTCAAGGATTACTTCATTCTTGTAACTCCTTTTAAACATTAATGGGCTACCTAGACAATGAGATTGAAGCTCTTAATATTATTATTTACCAGCTGCTGTATGCATGACCCTGAGAGTTGTGTATATAAGGGAGCGTCTTACTTAGACTTGGGAGGCCCTCTCATAGGTATGTGTGGGAGGAACAGCTTGTTGAATATTCCTACTGCGACTTGGCGCAGCAGTTTCACAGCTGATTAGACCAAATCCTTGCCTGTCAGCAAGATCAGATGGGGAAGTAGAGCATGAGGGGAAAAAGAAAAACCCTCACCCACACAGTCTTGTAGAACCTGCTTGAACCTCTCGGCTTTGAGGTTTCTCAGTTTCATGATGTTTGGTGGCAATATCACAGAAAAACGAAATTACTTTGTATATCATCTGTAGTCTCAACCTTCAGGTTAAATGGTACTCAACAGGTAAAATATGAGCTGAACTAATAGTTCTTTTGGTAAGCTCTGATCGTTGTATTAATTCAGTCTTCTAATAAAAGGGGGCAAATATAAGAATTAAAAAGAATTTGAAGGGTACTGGTTATACAAATGAATAAATCTTCCTTCAGCTTTAATTAAATGTGTCTGC